TGCTGTTTCATGTTCAACAATATGATCCACTGATAGTAAGAGCCCCTGAAAACTCCTGTCAAATCTCCTTCTACGCAGAGCCTGTCTACAATTATCTGATCAAACCGATTAGATCCCGACGCCTGTCTCCCCCCTCGGCACCCACGGCAATCAGAGCGACTTGCCCATCCCCATTTGACCGCAACTTGATCGGCCCCTGGGGCCATTGGCCAGCCAGCCCCAAAGACGAGCTCGTCAAGGACTGCAGCATGGCCTCATCCATCACAGGCGGAGCCCCGTATTCAACCTCGCGCCGTCCGCCGTACTGCGTCGGCAAATCATCCGCGTCGGCAATGGCGGCCAGCGCGGCCGGCACCTGGCCCGGGTACAGGATTTCCACCTTGGACGCGGTCCGCGGGTCGATCAGCTTGCGGACGAAGCTCCATATCGCGCCAAAGTACGATGGCGCATTGACGGCCTGACGAGGCGACGTTAGCGGGCCTAATTAGAAAATTTGGTGCTCCTTTGCCAGAGGCCCAAGGTGTGTGTGTGGTGTGTACGTACGTATATCCGGTCAATGACCTCGGGGAAACAGGTGGACAGCAGCACGCCAAAGTCTTGGATGTACATTCGCAGGTTCCAGGCTTGCTTCAGCGTCATGCCAGACACGTCGGCAATGTACACGGCGCTTGAGATCGCCGTGCCGGGCTGTTTCCGGTCGCACATCGCCGAGCACACCGGGAAAACGAACCTGGTTAGATAGTCGTGGAAGACGATGGCCTGCTCCATTGCGCTCGACACGGCGGCGTCGCCTCTAGACACACTCCTGTCTTCGTTGTACCTCTGAATGACGACGTCGTCTAGGTGGCGGCTGTCGAAAATACATATGGGCTTGCCGGACTTGTCTCGACGGCCAGACCAGTGAGGGTACTGCATGTAGCTTGTCGATTAGCCATGGGGGCAGCATTCTAAATGTTAGCCGGCGTACGGAGCATCTTACTAGCTTTCGTTTCTCTTCAAAGTCGCTGAGATCGATGGTATCGTAGGTGGCAATCACGCCGGCCGACTGTCGAATAGCCAGTGCCTCCTTGAGCTGCTCATATGCCCGGTCGACGTCAAATGACTTGCCTCGGAGGAATCGCCTAGTATCCGGTTAGCATGGCGCGACGTGTCGATAGTGCTGGTGCATGACGAACAGCAGAGTGTGTTCGTCGGTGAGGCCGTCGATAAGGTCCCCGTGTTGCAGGCCCTCTGGTCTCTGAAGAAGCTTCTCCTGATAGCACAGTTTGCTAAAGGTATCCAAGCACATCCGCTCGTCGTCGGTGAGTGTGCCTGATGCGGCATGCAGCAGTGACGTCTCCATGGCAGACGACGCAGGGTGCGTTCAAGGACAGAGTACTACTCCGTGGGTGGCGAGCAGAAGGCAAGTAAGGTCGCGAACCCGCATGACTTGTGAGCTTGTTTCGAGCGGCAAGACGCTGGCTTTTTGCTGACCGCCGGCCGCAGTCTTTACATATGTACATTCATATCTTGACGGCTCGTCACAAGACTCGCATCAGCCTCACCCCGCCACGTCCCCCCGGCCGCCTGGCTTTGCTTTTTCCTCCAGCCGTTCAGCCAAGTTGCTGGGCATGTCTTGGAATCCGCTCGGCTTTTCAGAGAGACAAGAACATGACATTGGATGGCGTCCGAAACCCCAATAGACGGAGAAACCTCCGTAGCATCCTTGAATATGCGGCGCCGCCACTGTCTCAATGAGATATGCTTATGCAGTACACATCTCTCAGATATGATGCTGGGACAAGATTCAGGGATCAATATGAGTCCTGGAGCAGGAGACTCTGCTTATCCGCTTGACTGGCTGTTTGATGTGTCCGGTACTCCGTACAAAAATATCGGCCATGTAGTCGCATCGGACGCAGCGGCCTGAATTCTGGGACGTGAACCAACACGATAGCTGCCGCCCGGGAAGAAGTTGGTCTTGTGATTGTCTCGGTTTGCGCATGTCACAATGTGACTGAAAAATGACCTAGCTTGTTCTGGTCTTTGGTAGCCATGGACATGGATGCAACCCACCTATCGATGGGACCTCCCAGATAACGCGGATGCTATGGACGAGAGAATCCCATCGTGAGCCTGTGACTTTAATAAAAACTATGGAGCACCCTTTGACACAGATACAGGTAGTGAACGTGTGATGATGGGTTGGGGTGTGGCCTGAAACAAGAGGATTGAGTTCCTCAATTTCCATTTCTCAGCCAGTCTATTTCGAACGACAGATAGCAAGGGGGATGATGACTAAATATCAAGTTTGTTGCCAGAAGGGTGACTGGGATTCTAGGAAAGTGACGCAGCCCAACTTGAGCGTCGAGGGAACACACTCAGCCGCATTTCACTGCCCTCTAAACATGTGACGAATCAGTACGGAGTAGTGTATTTTGTACAGTCGTAGTTCGCATGACGAGCTATCAAATCAGACGTCAACACAGACAGACCAAACAAGGGGAGACTTGCTACCGGCAACTTGGCACGTGGTATAATCAACGTCATCCAAAAACAGGGGTGAGTATGGCCCCTTTAAACTCGCAGCCTAGTCCATCTCACCACACAGAAACCCAATAGGAAATGGTCTCTTCGTTTACGCTCAACCCTCTCCACGTCACCCAGATACTGTCGAGCGGCTCCGCAGGTGCATGGCATGTTTCTCCCGTTCCGGCCGCTCCTCATAATGGTCCTTGCAGTAACACTCTGCACGAGTCGTTGGCGCACACGGGGGCCACGGGCGGCGCAAAGTTGCCGTTGGAGGCTTGCACGGCCATGCCGAAGACGAGGTCGCCCGCGCTGCCTCCGCGGGAGCGGTAGTTTCCCCGGTTGATCCAGGGGGCCCAGTAGTCTGCCGTGTGGGGGGACGAGGTGGACGAGACGGTGACGAGGTCCGTCTGCGAAATGCCCGCCAGGAGGACGGGGCTCACAGCGTAGACGGCGAGGAGGAGCACGCCGCTTATCTTGAGGAGCCGGAAGCCGCCGCGGACGGGGTAGGTGAGCCTCGCCAGAGGGGACACGGTCCATTGCGCGAGGTGTCTGGTCTCGCGGACAGTCAGAGGGCTGCCAGCGTGGCCAGGGACGAGCTTGAGCCAGAGAGAGTGCTCGACGCAGCGGGTGATGAGGGCAGACGTGGCGGCGGCGAGAATGGCGGTTATCAAACTCACGGCTACCGAGGGCTTGATGGACGACGAGCCGTCGACGTAGACGAGGGATGGGATATGGTATAGTTTTGGCTGGACGTAGAGTATGATGAGCAGGATGTAGCAGACGAGACTGACGAGGGCCAACGAGGCTGTTAAGAGGATATTCAAGAGCCTCCCCCGGCTATGAGGCACGACTTGAGGGAGCGCCGTCATGATGCGGAATCTGTCCCACGGGGCAGAGTCTTGTCTAAGCATGCAGCGCGCATACATTCCATGACGGGCAAGAGCTGGCAAATCGCGAGGCAGCGTAGTTATAAGCAATCAATTACTACAGTTGTGAGGACCAGTGTTGGGGGGTCAGGAGCGGCTGGGAGCTGACGAAGCTGAAAAGCCACTGGCATCCGTGGCTCAAATCGGCGTCACCACCTTATGGAGTGTTCAGCTGCAAGACGTTTGGCGGCTTTTGACTAGCCCTTTACCCGTCATATGATTAAAACGGCAGCTACCTTGAGCCATTGGTGGCGTGGCAACAGTCATATAATATCTCAGTCTGGCCTGCAAAGGCTAGTTGAGGCCTAGAGTAAGAGGCAAAACGTATCTATCCAGATGGGGTGCCTAGCTAGAACGCTCTATATTATGATATATTGTGATCTCGGAAGACACTTGGTAGGCAATCTCATCAGAAGATAAGAGACTGCTCCAAGGCGCTCGAGCAATTACAGTCTGTGACGGATATACTTGCGCACTAGGAGGAGTACACTGCCACACTATAGTATCAATTGATCGTAGAGTAGAGTCTGGTGCGATAGCCAGGTACTGGGTCGGGTTTAATAATTTTTGTCTTCCACTTTAGGCCCCGTAGTAGGATTGTTCAAAGGAATTCGTCTCTTCAAAGCGGTGCTACACAAGGTTCAAGTTTCGGAGACGGGCATGATTTTACCTCGTCTGATTCGTCTAATCCAAGTATCAACTAGGGCTTTATAAATTTGAAAATGATCAAGTCTGTACATGATGAGTAGAAACGCTGCCCAAGCCGGCATCTTGAGTCTTACGGCTCAGGCCTCGGGGGCGCAATGAACAACCCAGGCTCATTGGCCGTCATAGGCCCCGGGAACTTGCAACCTAAGCATTGCTGGTTGTTCATCCTCTACTAGCTAGTCTACCTCAAGTCTATAGTCGGAACAAAAAGAACTATAGGCCACATCTATAGCCTTGCCTGCTCCTGCTGCGTCACTACTCTCATCGGAGGCCCGCCTCGACTTCCATCCCCCTCAAGATATTCAGTGAGATTCCGGTCTGGCAGCCTAGCCCTCCATTTATTGCGCAATGCCAGAGACGCCTTGTCCTGCAAGCAGTCGGCAATGTGCTTTCCAAGGACGGGGGCAAATTTAAACGCGCTACAGAATGGTCAGTTGGGCTCCGACTCCCGCATGTCAAAAATTGGAAACCACTTGGAAGGGAAACTTACTGCCCCGAACCGCCGGTCGCCAAGAACAAGCCCTCGATGCTAGGGTGGTAGTCGACAACAAAGTCCCCCCTCGGCGTATCCGTGTACCAGCACATGCGAAGTTTCGCCCAGGCCCGGTGCGCAAATTCCGGAAAGAAGAGCTTGACACCGTCGCGGAGAGCCGTCTCAGCATCCTCGGGTAAGTAGCCCGAGACGGAATTGTCTCCCCCCAGGTTAGGAGACGACACGACGTTATTCTCGGCCGTCTGCACACGGGTCGCGAAGCCGAAGCCGTGCCGGGCAAGTTTCAGCATGTGGCTGCCCGGCGTGGGCGGGAAGCAGAAGACGCCCGTGTCAAAGTCGATCATGACGGGCATGCTGCCGAGCCGGGCGGCCTCTTCGGGCGTCAGTTGGATGAATCCTACCGGCTGTCCGGTGGCGAGCAGGCTGAGGTTGAAGTCGGGAAGGACGAGGTTCGTCCAGGCGCCCGTGGCGAGAACTACGGTATCAGCAAGCAGCCTGTTGCCCGTGACGGTCTCTACGCCCACCACTCTGGAGCCGTTTTTGATGAGTGATGCCACTGTTCCTGCGGTTCCGGTGAGGAACGAAACGCCCGCCTGGCTGCACCGCTCGGCGAGGCCCTGCACGGCCGCGCGCGCATCGGCCCAGCCGCCCTGGACGTTGTGAACGGCCGTCATGCCGTTTAACTGCGCCTGGACGCCGGGATATAAAGTCCTGACCTTGGCTTCTGCTTCGCTGGCTTCGAATACCTCGACTGGCTGGGAGCGGCATTGGCTGATGTACGGGTGGGAGCGGCAGGAGGACAGCATTAGAAACCCGGAATCGTAAAAGTGCGACGACCAGTCGGGGTTGTTTCGCCATTCTTTCATGGCGTCCACGGCTAGAGATCCGTAGAAGGAGTCGGCGTAATCGGCGCGAATGATGCGGGACACGTCGACGCTGCTGCCGTCGGGGACTGGCGGTGCGTGGCGGTCGAGGACGACGACGTTGGCGTACTTTCTGTTGGCGGCGAGTTCGTAGGCAAGACTGAGGCCAAAGACTCCGGCGCCGACAATGATGAATGGATTGTCTTGGACGGTTAGTGGGGGCATCATGAATGTAGTGTGAAGTCAATACGTTGGAATGAGACGAAAGGTTTCAGTGTTAGTTGACAGGTCGAGTGGCTGTGCGAAGCATCAATATTTGCCGGCTCTTGTACGTTTTAACAGAAGCTAAGCCAGAGCATTTCCTGTCAGACTTGTATGCAAAATATGAGAGAAAACAGGTCCCTGTGAATGACCAGTTGCACAAGATGTTGTTTTCCGTACTCGAGTCCACTTCCAGTTTCCATATTGTAGCAATTGTTCGGAGACGGCAAAACTCCGTCACCATCGTCTTACAACGAGGAAAAGTTGAGCAAGAAGTGGGGACGGAGACGGCAAGCTTTCCGTCCCCGCATCGGAATTCAATGTTTCAACGACATTCTTCTACCATTGCGACTACATCGGCTTGCCCAATGCATGGTCACATGGATGCAAGTATTTGATCGGAAAATGAACCGACCCCAGTTACCTCCGAGAAAAAGACACCGAATTCGGCGCTCGTGTGAGCAATGCAGGCAAGTCATTGCACCAGACCCTGGCACGTTGCCCTTGTCACCCAACTAAGCCGACATGGCAGACACAAGAAGGTCAAATGCCCGGCGGAGAAACCCTGCTGTTCGTATTGTCGCCGACTCAATCAAAAATGCATCTATCTTCCGCGAACTGGGCCAGATGGAACGGCGCTGGCTGCCCACGGAACTGCCAGGTGAGTGGTTTACGCAAAGTCTTCCTCTTGACTGGGGCCAGGCACGACTAGTATAAACCATTGGCTCACTGGTAATAGGAGTTTTGATGGAGAGCATGAATCTCGAGGCGCCAATGCAACTCCGCAAGAGTGCGAGACTTGGTAGGTTTGCCGCACTTGGACCCTTGGGCATGCAAGCATCTCATCCGCGGCATCGATAGGCGATCCGACGATCCCGAGCCGTCGGCAGAGGCTCTTGCGCACTTTGTGAAAATCTACCGGGACAGGATATACTTCCAGCCCCTACCGTTATTCGATCCGCAGTGTCTCAAGGACCAGCTACATCTGTTTCCGTATTATCTCCGATGGAGCTTTCTTGCCCTCGCTCTGCACTTTTCAACCCATGAATTCTACTCGGGAAACGAATCCGAGGCCACCGCCCTCTACATGACGTCTGCGCGCGGTGTGGTCCAGGAACTATCCACCGAGGGCGTCGTCAAGACGGAAGTCCTGCAGTCCCTGTGCCTGTTGGCGCTATGCGAAATACTAGGTGAGCCCTCAAGTTCCACCGACAGCACCACCAGTCTATCCAGATTCAACTAACCCAAGAATGCCCAGACGGCGAGCACGCCCGCTCGTGGATGACAATGGGCGCAGCTTCTAGACTGGAATCGTTGCGCCTCTCACAATCCCGCCACCTGCCCAGCGCACCCAACAGCGACGCAATATCCCGATGCCACTGGAGCATCTTCGTCCTCGAAAACATGTTCACGCCGAGCCTCGTGCTGCCGGCGCGGAAGCCCGGCCGGCCCAAGTTCCCAAGCAGCCCGGATGCCCCGGCCCCCATGGCATCCTTCACCGTCGCAAACAGCCACAGCCACTGTCCCGACCTCTCCAGCAACGTGCAGCAGGACGGAAGCAGTCCCGACCTGGGCATCAACGCCAACACTCTCCAGCTCATCTCCATCTGGGGCGACATCGTGGCGTACCTGCAAGACGTGCGGTACGGGCTATCCGACATGCCGTGGCTCAACACGTCTCGCCACGCCAAACTCGAGGTGAGCTTCTACGAGTTTGAAGTGCGCGTCTCGAGCCTGCACATGCTCCGGCACGCCTCGTTCCCCGATCGCCTAATGGACGAGATTGACGACAAGAGAGAATACTGGATGCCCTGGCTGACAATGGAGATTTTGTACCACGCCTCCAAAGCGGCGTTGCATAACCCCTTTGTTCAGCTGTTTGCTCTCCGCGGCAGCAACGCCAAGACCCAGCCGGGCTCCTATCTCCAAAAGGCCATTGACCAAGCCCTCTTCAATTACGAATGGGTAGCCCGCATCATACAAATGATTCAGGGGGCGTCTTTTGAGCTGTACGATCCTCTGATAGGGTCGGCCGTCGCGGCAACGGCTACTATTCCCTGGATATTCCAATTCGCCCGCGACGAGACGGTCGCTGTCAAGGCTGGCCAAAATCTAGAATTGTTCGAGACGTTTCTGGACGGCTTGTCGCTGCGGTGGCCGCACCTCGGCATCAAGGTACGTCTTGGGCCCCTGTTGGCCGACGGAATTGGACTGACGTCCGTCGTGTGATTTTAGCTCCAGACACTTCGGGAGCTGAGGAGCCGGAGTCGAAGCGAGGAGGAGGGCGGCGCGAAAAGTACCACGATACGCTTTCAGCCGGACCTTGTTTGGCGTCTGCTCTGCGCTGGCTTTCCACCGGAAATGGGGGCGCCGGATGAATCGTCGACAACTGGACAGGGTCATTTGAATGCTACGCTGCATGTTACTACGCAGTATGTGCATCCGCTGATGGATCCCCCGCCGCGCCGGCCGATGGATGACTCCAACATGGAAATCTTTTTTGACGCGTCTTTTGACGGGTTTGATGCGCAGTTCCCAGAGGGCTTCTTCTCGCAAACTCTGTTGGGGGGGGTGTTTTGATACATGCTACCAAGATGTACTTGAGCACTATTCTATGGTATGACGAGACAAGTCTGCCACAGGGCCGAGATGACAAAGGTACAAGGAGTGTCGAGTATAGAGTTTTTTTGCTCTTGGGTGAGATTCTTTGGTCCTGAAATGATGACATTGCCGCACATCTCGTGTTGCGACTGGATGTCCTGACGCTTGTTTTAAGAATAGTCGGAAGCGGCACCGGGCTTGAGGAAAGGAAGCCTAGCTATAGCTGACCGTGCCGTGGTCCCCATTTTCCTGTTCGTGGGATGCCAGCTCTTTTCCTGGCCAATTACCCTCGATTTTTTTCATGAGAATCCTTTTTAGTTCAAAAGCCCCTCTCAATCACTGCTATAGTACGTTAGGATGTGCGGACTTGGCTCCAATGAGATGTTCAAGCACGCCGATTTTATTGAATAACTACATGATATCTATTCGGTCTCTACATTTATACTTGTCATTGAGCCCCCAAAAAACCCTACATGTCACCCAATAGAAACGTAAAACTCCGCCAAAGCTTAATTTTATGCTTATATGCAATGGAGAAGTCGTTCAACAGACTAGTATGCAAATCAGACTCATTGTCCGGGTTCCCAAATAGAGCCAGAGCGTGGAGGGCAAACTGATACCGGCCAGAAGGTGCGTACTGGCCGGGTGCAAAAGATCCATTCCAGTGGGTAATGTCGATTGTACCAGTTTGGCGAGAGAACAAGTTGAATGGGGATCCCGGCAGTTGACCAACGGACTTGGTGCCAGCAAACTCGGTGACATTTCATCGGGCACGCAAGCCTGGGGTCGGGGCCTGCTTGAGACGTATTCTGGGGCTTGAAATCGAGAGATGACGAGCAAAGCGTGAGCAGGACCATGTCCAGGCGCAGTTTGGGAGAAGCGAGGGGGAGGTGAATTGCGACGAATACTTTGTCAAGGCTCGCTCCAGCATCCTTTCGCTCAACCGAGTTGGATGGCCCTGGTTTCTGCCCGCTTTGCAGATCGTTGAAGACGAATGCATCGGTACTGGGGTACGTCGATTCTCCATCAGCTCCGGCAATTTTGAGGACCGGCTTGCCAGGATAAATGCGCCAAGCAGAGCGAAGAGAGCCGGCGAGACCGAGATAGGGGATGCTCAGGCTGGTACCGTCGGTGCCATTGACAATTACCAGACCAGATGGGCAGGCGCTCAAGTTCAAGGCCAGATAGGTCGGTAACCGTAACTTCAGTGGTTTCCGAGGCTCCAGGGTCGAGAACAAACGAGTCTTTACCAAGCTTGATATCAGCTTTGCCATTGACAGACTCTGCCTTGATAGGATCGGGCTCAAAGAAACTCGGTTGGGCGGTATACAGCGTGGTAGCATGCTGGCTAGAGAGCTGACAAGTGACTTGAGACCTGGCCGTGTTGGTAATGCAAAGGCTAATAGAGGCAACCCGGTAGTCCGTATCGTTAAACGATAGGGTAGGAGGGTCTACAATCGTGGTAGTATGAGCGGCATCCCACGCGTTAAACTAACACCAGTATCGATTATATCAACCTTGATTCCGGTTCCCGTGAATCCTTCTTTATGCATCTTGTCTACCTGCGTCATGGCAAGGTGCCAGTATCCCTAGACTGGTGCGGTTCAGAATTCCTTCCAGTTGGTCGCAGCTGCCCTGTAGCATCACTCTCGAGTTCTGATTTTATCTCAGCATTGGGAGATATATCATAATCCTCCGCCAGGGCCTTTCTATCCATGCCACTGGGGACACTGCCAACCGAAAGGCCGTAGAAGAAGCGGGAGTTGAACTTGTCCAACACCTCACCGCCCGCTTGTTCGATATCGCTAGCGAGTTTTCCACCTCGTGGCTGTTTTTGTATTCGATGATGAAGGAGCCTGTAGCTGTCTTGCCATCATTATTGGTAGGGATAGGAGCCATTGCTTCCGGGGTCGAGGAGATACCCGAGGCGGCAAGCCACACGAGCGCGGGTATCCAAGGACGAACCATGGCTGCCAATTATTATTCGATTAGTTGATTGACGATTTTAGGCTGAGGGAAACGGCTGATTCAAGTTGGATGAAGAAATTGCGTAGGAGACCTTGTAGGAAAATGGGCAAGTCCAGAGAATCTTGGTAATCTATTATCTTGACGAAATGTCAGTTACATCATTTGCGTCGAGACAACGCTTCGACGACTCGACCTTTTAAGCACGTCTACAATGGGCCACGGTAATATTGTATTCAACAATGCTCGGCTCCCATCTGGTGCCCGGTTGCCGTTCTCCCACTTGTCGAGCTATTCATGACGTCAAAGTCAAAGTGACTCGAACTTGTAAGATAAATCCTCGTGGCTGGGCACTCTTGCTTGCTACACTGTCTCGCTACGACTTGTTGCCATCTGTGATCTAACGCTGTAAGTTTAGCTACTAGTAATTATTAGTTGAGGTTGCAGTTGAGAGCTTACGAAGACATCGTCTAAAACTTGGTAATATATCAAGTGGAGGAAAAGATATAAAAGAATAGTACATTTTATGTAAAAAATCAATACCTTTTACCCTAGTTAATATTGTATATATTATTGTAATTATCACGCGATAGAGCTTTACCCGGGCAATATAAGTAAAATTAAAAGCCCTTTGCAAATAGCCGATACAAATAGCTATAATAATTTACCTGCATGAACCACCTAACAGCTATTAAGGTATAACCTTATAAGTGCCTCGCAGCTAGCCCCACCTATTAATATTATATTGTTATGGACTCGAGCTGGAGGCTCGGGTCTAGGCTGGCCCCTTTACGGAGCCGGCTCGGACCTCGCACGGGTAAATACCGGACCAGAACAGGGTATAATAAGGAGAAGGAAGCCTTTTCTTTTTTCCTTTTCTTTTTTTTTTCTTTTAAGTTTATTCTTACTTCTAAGTGACGCATACATGCAGGAGCAGGTATGGCCAGTCCATCACACATATATGGCTAAACTTTCAGGGGTTATCTTATATACTTGACAAATAATTCTACTCCTTAGACCATGCTATAGAAAAATCCTGATTATCACATGATAGAACTTGAACGTGGCCCGACTAAACAGCCTTACCCAATTATTACTTGTTCTCCTCTTATTATTGTTATATCCTTGGTCAGCTTGCTACACAGGTATTCTAGATTGTAAGTCTCGGTAAATATTAAATTTTTACCTTGTAAAGAGCGATAGGTCTCATAGACCTTATTGATATAACAGTGTGTAAGGTCCGAATAAGTAGGGCATAGCACGAGCCGGTAATTTAGGGTCATAAACTGTAAGAGATAATCAGAAAGTCAAGTAAGCCGGAGGTAGGTATTCCGTCGTGATAAGACTAAAGCTTGTCCCCTTCTAAATCTACGCCTCATTACTGTATTTGTACTACATGTAGGGATTCTCCCGTGACTTAGTCCCTCCAGGGCCTGCTAGGCTGCAAGGTGTATCAATGTCTGGTACGCCACCCACTTTGCACCTTACATAGACCCTCTATATAATGTGCGGTATAGGGCTTATATTAATCTTTAAACGACTCACCAGCGCCCCTTATATTAAGAGGTAAATGGTCTGTGATGTTAAAAAGAGTACAAGTGTGGCTGAGATTACAGTTGAGTCTAGAAGAAGAGGAGATTTCCGGCAAACCCCTTCTGGTCTTGTGTTGTAGCTTTTAATGTTACTCCTTCCAGTCTCTGATTGTCTTTCTTGATTAGCTATACGCAGAACAGAAGTGCCTTGATGCCACTTTTTCCACCAGATTTTCCCAGCTTCTTTATGCAAATAAATGCAGAGGGATTTATTAAGCGAGATGTTAAAGATCCGCAAGTGAAAACTGATTCGCTTCGCTAGTCCCCGCCCCACTGTTCTTGACTGTCTTTACGATGCAGATTATGGACCCTTTTTCTTCCATCTCATTTTCTTTCTCAGCAACACTACAGTAACTGTGTCGATCCATCTTACTATGACTGGAACCATTTCTGAAATCAGCCTGGCTGATGCGGAGCGCATTATACGAAAAGTCGATTATCCCGCCATACAAGATAGTCCCTTGTTCCGCCTAACATTCACTTCACATGCAACCACAACAGAAGCTCAGCAAAATGAAATCATTCAATGGTACACCGAGGGCCTAAAAAATGCCTTGAAATGCAAGACATATAAACTTATCCAGATATGCGCATTGGATGGAACACCGCTGGGTTTCTGTGGGTGGACTACGGAACAACGACGACAACAGCAGCAACAGCGAATGCCGATGAATACAAGTCCAGGACAGCTTGGCAGAAAACCACCCTCCCTTCCCGAAGTTTTAGATTTACCAGCATGGGTCAGCGTCTCGAATGCTTTAAGAAGTGAGCGAGAAAGAATTCTAAGCGGGTTGGATCATGTTTGTCGTAAGTGAACGTATATCTATCGTCTTCGTTCACATGCCGATGCATCATTAACTCATTTGCATTCTAATTAGGTTTAACGTTTATGGCAGTACATCCGCATCATCAACGTCATGGCCTTGGCTCCGCACTAATGAAGCGGGTCTGCGATGATATAGATGAACTGGGATGGCCTGCTTTCGTCATGGCTTCGCCGGCTGGTGTTCGATTATATGCAAAAATTTGGATTCGATATCGTCGGCAAGGTAGAAACGTGCCAAGGCACACTGACAAGCATGTTTCGACAGCCTCGGGTCCTTGACCAGGCTCTATCCTAAACCATCCTGGAGCTTGCCACCTAACCGTCTCGCAGAGACTCTTTTTCTGTTCGAGTTGGAAGGGTGTCTCATATGACCTCAAGCGACAGGACGTGTTGAGGCCGTCAACTACAATGTATATAAATCTCTCGTTGAGTACCTCGAGCATTTCTTTGTGTATTTACAAGAGGGGACCTAATACCTTAGATTGATACATTCAATTGAGAACTAGTCCACAGATTAATGAGGTCTATCACTGCTAAGCTCTGACATGATAGCAGACGCAGAGTGGGCAGATAGTCTAATAAGCCGAGTAGGAACACCACTAACAGATGTGGACTTCAAAGTATTAGGAGCAGAACCAACGGCAATAGTGTTAAGGGCCGTATCAGTACCTATGGGAACGGTACCGGACACCCCAACTCCATCTGTACCACTAGTACGTATTATTATGGCTCTATAATATAACCCTAACCCTTACCGCATTCTGCCCCAGATCGTCTTGCTTCCAGAAGAAAAAAATTGGAGAAGCCCACAATAATGGCCCGGGGCCGGAACAAGGGCCGGGCTCGGGTTTATGTCAACGGCCGAGGCGGCGACGTCTGCGGCCCATGTTCCCGGACTCCAACTTCCTAATGAGCCATTGTGCAACTTTCAACTTCTTCATTTCCGCATCCCGTGTCCAAGGCCACTGAAGTAGCGTCGGAATATGAACCCCTTGGTCACCCCTACAGATATTGCCAGTGATGATGCGCAGCTATGAATCTGACGGTTCGTCTGACCTTTCCACGCTGGCCATCGCCTGCGTCTGTTGCCAGCAACGCAAGGTGAAATGCGACAAATCTCACCCATGCTCGCGGGGTTTTAGGGTCATCACTGCCCCCATGCCCTAGCGTACCTAGCAAAGTCGCGGTGCGAAAACAGAGGTCACCCACTGCTATACGCCAGGAACGGCTTGCCAGATGCGAGGAGTTGCTTGAAAGCCATGCCTCCCGCTTCAAGGCCAGCGATGTACTGGGAACCGAAGCAAACGTATATCCCACGACGGCCCAAGTGTGGATATTTATCGGACCACAGGACAGTTCGTAGTAAACGGCGGCGTCGCCCATTTTGTAGAAAGCGACTTTTGGGCAAGAATCTGCGACGAGGTTTGTTGCACAGTGACTGAGCCCAAGCATGTTTTCCAAAGACTAACGATGCTTAGATTCACGGGACACCGCAGTTTATTTGAGTCCGAAGATGCCAATGTTATCGACAGCAAGGAAATTCCAACCACACACGATGGTTGTTTCGACGACCTTCTCTCCCCGGACTCTTCCGCGTCTCAGGCCTGCCGCAGAACCCCTTTGAGCCGACACGCTTATTTCAGCTGTGACAGATGTTCCTGGACCGTGTGAATCCCCTCAGTAAAGTCATCCATGTGCCCAGCGTGCAGCCTTTGCTTGTGCAGGCTGCGTCCGACATGGAGAGCATATCGCCCCAACAGCAAGTCCGCCTGCTCTCCATGTTCACGGCTGCCATTGTTTCTCTTTCCAAAGACGAGTGCGTCAAGCGACTCAAGCTGTCTTGGCCGGCAGCTTTGCAACAATTTTTCATGCGCACAAAGCAGGCTATGGAAACGTTGAACATTATCAAATACCACAACATGGACGTTGAGCGGCGTCATTGTGACAAGGGCTCAATAGA